TAAGAAAGGTTACTTATACATTTTGGTCTTCAGTCATAAGACTACATTAAGCAGATTTTAAAGAAAATATCGGATTTTCTGAATACATATTCTAACGCTTTTACAAGGAAAACGATTTACTTTTCCAACGAAATCTCTTATGAACTCACCAACCTTTGTGTTGACACTTTTCAAAACTACTTGTATTCTCAGGAATTCAGTGAAAACAGGAAATCAACAACGTTTTGAGGATGGGACGATAAATCGTCAAACAGTTCATTTTGTATTATAATGTAATTGATGTGAATCATGTAAACATGTGCTTTGATGTAACATTTTCAATTTTATTTGTGTTGGTTGTATTTACTTTGAGCACTATTATACTCATTGTTGTGATACTCTACATGAAGTCATCCACCCCTGGACGTTTCAGCCATCCTTGGTTTGGGGGTGTGACAAAATATCACACAAACCGGTGATCGAGTCGTTGTAGAGACTTTGAGTTCGTGCCGTATGTTATCAGAAGTTTATTTATTATTTTTTTAATGTCTGTGTTGTGTGATACGTCAATACTCACCAGACAAAGGAAAACAAATATTTTCACATTCTCAGTTCCGATTTTGTAGAACTGATTGATGCCATAAACGGTGGAATTGACCCAATAGAACCGATGACCGATTAAACCTAAATTACATATACAGGAACCTGTAACGCCTGTGTTTCCGGGCTTGCCATTTTTAGCAATGTAATAGTCTAGGTTAACCTTTGTAACCCGTTTTGAAATAATAAAAGTGTATTATTTGAGTATTATGTGTTTTGTGCTTAATTGCTTAATTATGTGGTTTGATTAATTAAGAATAAAAAATAAGCGTCAAAATTTAAGTGTAAAATAAACTTGATATCTTTGGATAATGTTGTAGTAGTTGAAACGAAGTTTCCGAATATATATAGAATGCCCAAATTTGACTTCGTATGAGGAAGTTATGATTTATCGAAGTTTCGGCTTAGCGGTATGCAGCCTGAAATACTCGATTTGAGATCGAGCGGTTTTTAGCCGAAACAATCTAAACGAGAATCGAAGATCTCGTTGTTGGTATCGAAGCGATGAAAAGTTAGGCGAGAACGGATGTCAAACGAAGAAGTTATGAATTTATAACGAAGTTTGTTTGTCCCGGCCTATTAAAAATAAATAATAAAAATAAAGTTAAAATTAGCCAACAAAGTCTAAACGAAAGTTGTAAAGCGTAGTCTCACCTTCACGTGGATATAAAGAACGTCGAAAACGGAGTTCGTATGAAGAAAATATGAATTTTCGAAGTTTATTAAATAATTAATAATTAAATTTAATTATTAAATCCCGGTATTATCCGAAGACGAGTCATCAGACTCATCTGAAGTACGCCCCGCGTACTAGCCTACGCCTCGCGTACACCGAGATATGTCGACATTCGCACTCGAGTACTTCGGATACGTAAGCCATGATAATCCGAGGTACTCCGAGGTTCCAGCCTCTATAAATAGGATCCGAAGGCAGCCGACTCCTTTGCTATTTTTCTCTCTTCTATCTCCCGTTTTGCATCGATTTGCGTGCCAGGAGTACCCCGAAGCCCCGGTAATATTCTCGAGCCCCGAAGCAAGTCCCGAGATCCCGAAGATCCCGAGAAGTGCGGTTCCCGAGCCGAAGCTCTGCCCGCGAGAAGTTTAATTTTTGTAGAGATCTTCCAGATCTGCTGAAGAATACTACTTCTGCAAGTCGTAGTGCTGTCCGATCATCTTCTGATCAAGTGAGTGTATACTACCTTTCATAAACACGATAATAATACAAGTCTGGTTTGAGTGTATTAAGTATATTGTTGTTTATATGTGTGTGTAGTTACTTTCTTCTATCTCATAGATATGATTTATTCTCTATGAAATACGTGTTATGGGTGTGTGTGCCTCATCTGTTATGTGAAATATGTGTTGATTAAAGCATGCTATACAGGTTTTTAAACTATGTATAAAAATGTATATTTTTATCTACTAATATGTTGGGTAGAACATGGGTAGATAGTTGGTGTGTAATAAACAGATGAGAGGCCTCGTTGTTGTTTGATTAGTCATCTAGCGGAGTTTAGATGACGACCACTAACTTTTCTAGATAGTCTTGTGGAACATTAGCAGGTTCGCCACCTGTAGGTGTTAATGAACTTGGGTGTTCATTTGCTGTACTCCATCCCCCTCATGGTTGCCTTATTTGACTTATATTGCTGAGGAACCCCCGAAGCATGTGTTGTCGCCCCGATGAAATATTCTTAGACTAGGTCCCTTATGTTAGTTGTCTTAGGGACATAAAGTGAGAATAACGGGAATGGGTAGTTAGGTTATTGTTGGTTGGTGGAAATTAAATATAATTATTTATTGTGGGTTGAAAACCCTATATGCTCACCAGGCTCCCAAGCCTGACCCACTCAGTTTTATTTGTATTACAGGAAGTGGCGCGAGGGCATAAGATGGATGAACCATCATGTTGTTTTGTTTACAAGTTTATATATATATATATATATATATATATATATATATATATATATATATATATATATATATATATATATATATATATATATATATATATATATATATATATATATATTTGTTGAATGACTTGTAATGTTATCGTTTATGTTTATTGGTCTGTATCGGAACATGACACCCCGAGTTTTGATTATATAATGAAAATACATTTCTTTTATGAAATGCTTTGGTAAACATTGTTTTATCATGTTTTGTTTTTGGGAACAAATTCCGCAACTCTTTCAAATCAAAAGGAATTAGTCTGAAATTATTTTAAAAACATAAATGAAAATCGGTCTTTTCTGGCCGAGATTTTAGGGATGTCACAGAACCAAAGTGGATATACTTATTCGATCCAAACCGCTTCCAGTGAGTCCAGATCTAAACTCCGATCCCTAAACCTATATGTATTTTAATAGTAAAAATGTATTATTCGATGCATCACGTATTACTTGAAAGCACAATGTTTTCTAATGAAACTTAATAGCCGAAAAAAGAATTCTATGCACACCCATCGTTTGGCGTGGGTAAACGACTAGTATATATATATATATATATATATATATATATATATATATATATATATATATATATATATATATATATATATAGATTGAAATGTATATGTTACGTTTAACGTATATTAACTAAAAAAAATATAATGAAAGTAACTTTAAATATAAAAAATATTATTGGTTCATTACATCCTTTTCATCATTTTTTTTCTATATTTTTATAAGAGATTAATATGACGTGTCATGTTAAAATTGGCCCACCAATTTAAACCATGAAAAAAGATACAACGAAAAAATTTAAGTTGTACAAATCATAGATACTTATAAAGCTAGCATTTTTCCTTAAATCTCATTTATTTGAAATCTCCATAAAAATTTGCCAACACCTCATGCATTTGAAACCCCCACACTCTTTTACCTTCAAAGTAATGAATCTCATTCATTTGAAATTTCCAAGATTATTCAAATTATAGAATTTAATTTGATTTTTGAAATTCCCTTCACAGAAATGTAGTTGGCCTATAAATACGTACTTTTATAGAAACAAATATCCTAAACGAAACAAAATACTTCTGTTGTCTAATTAGTGATCATTTGTTATCTGTTTTGGTGTAAATGAAAGTCTTATGTTGTCAATATAATATTGAATTTCAATAATCTATAATAAGCAAGATATGCATTTTGTGTTTTTATTCAAAACAATTGGTTTTTTTGTTGGTTTTTCACATATTGTGTTTTTAATCGTGAATAAAAGTAGTTTTTTGGTTTGAGAACTTTCTAATATCTAATTTAAAAATTGACACATGCAATATTTTATTGAGCATACAGATACGAGCAATTATTTTTTGAAAGGCAAGGCTCTACACAGTCTATTTCTTATAAGTTTATATTATTGGGGGTTAAAATTGAACTGATGAATGGAACAATCACGGATGAGGATTTAACTTCAAGTTTTATTATACTAACTTTGCTTGAAATGTGATATGCATAATTTGTTGAACTTATTTATAAACACTCTGAGATTTAATGAATATTTAAATTGAAGATTACCTCACATTTTGAACAATATGCAAGTTTTTGTGTTGAAATTCATATTGAGATGTAGAAATTCACTTTAATGAGTTGATAAGTTTATCGCTTTATGAGGAAATTTGTATTTTTTAATGAGATGATACATTGATGTTTTTAAAGATGATGCCATAAACTTTACCCTTTATCGTTGTTAATTGTTGTAGGTTTGTTGTACAAGTTGTATCTCTTGGTTTTTAATTCTATTGTTGTTATCCATTCACATGTTTCATATTCTTGAAAACTAGAGAAGAGACCCATGCTTTGTCAACATTTCAGGTAAGCCCCTATATATGTAATGACCAAAAAACCTTATTTAACTCTTTGTAAAAAATTCCTTCTGACCCATGCTTTGCATGGGTCAGAAGGAATTTTTTACAAAGAGTTAAATAAGGTTTTTTGGTCATTACATATATAGGGGCTTACCTGAAATGTTGACCAGGAAGAATGAAAAAAGAGCAACAATCTTTATGAAAATTGACATGTAAGCAAAGTAACCCCAAAGAACTGAAATGGGAATCATACATTGTAGTAAATTTGATACATTGTAGTAAATTTGTCACGTGTTGCTCAGTGACTCTAACACGTAAATAAGCCTATATATGCTTTTTTGCGTTAAACTTTCCTTTAGACTCTCCCCGTCATCACGCTTCATTACAACTTCCTTTAAGTTCTCCAAATCCTCGTCCACAACACTCTGCAACAAATACCAAACTACTTTCATTTATTTGTGTATTATATTATAGCATTCTACTTTCGGTTCTTTCAGCTTTTTTCTCAATGCTAATGCCCATCAATAAAGAAAAGGGTAAATCTCATGAAATAACAACTTCTCTTTGTTTTTTTGTAGATATAATCAATGCAATTAAGTTTTCATTTAACCCTGTCTGAATGATGCACCGTGAGGGTAAAATGGTCATAAATGATCGAATATTTGATTTGCGTAATTACTTGCACAGCTGAATTCTTATCTGTTAATCATTTCATCTACTTGGTCTCACATTAGGAGATACTTTAGGAAACTACTAAATAGCTTGAATTGCAATCTCCCTTACTACAGCTTCCAGGCTATGGCTGCATGAATAGGTCAGAACATGAGAAAAACGTCAAGATTCTTGATACCCTTTTGGGGAAATAGTATAAAAACTAAGAATTTATAAAAACTAAACATTTAAGAACAAAGAACATCGCGATTCCAACTGATAATCCTAATAATGAAATGTATAGTTTATTGAAAATATTTAATATTGACAAACGGAATCAACTGAAACCTAAGTATGACGTGTTATAACCCGAAGCCACCAATCTTCTACAGTTATAAAAAAATAAAGAAGAAGGCTATAATTTTCCAAATAAACATTGTTATAATCATATTTTTGAAAAGATTGAAAAAAGTGTTAGATTTTTGAAAAACCATAACGATTTCCCTTTCTACTCAAAGTCATACAATCGCCCTTGATTTTTTTTATTCAATAATTTACCTTTGGTGATACCATTTCCAAAGTACCAAAAACCTATGAAGATCCTCATATCCTATTAAACATAATGATATCTGCATCACCGCATATTTGTGTTAGTGCATCTTTTTATTTATGATTTGTAACCAAAGTAATTTACAATAAAGATATATGTTAATCTACTAAAAGAATGTAACTTGGGGACCAGATGTGTAAATTTAAGATAACCACAGGAACGTTATTTGTAACTCACTCAAAATATTTACATAAAATGAAACATAAAAGTAAAGAATTTCATGAGGTTTATTTCAAAGTACGAAGGATACTTACTCAGTATCCCCAAATGAAACAACGTCACAACCTTATTTGAATATATATATATATATATATATATATATATATATATATATATATATATATATATATATATATATATATATATATATATATATATATAAACTATACCTTTGAAGTGCAATTGACAGATCATTTAAGAAATAGGAAGAACACAATCTTCAATAGTTAAACATACCACAACACTCTCCAACAAATATCAAACTACTTTCATTTATTTGTGTATTATATTATAGCATTCTACTTTCGTTTCTTTCACCTTTTTTCTCATTGCTAATGCCCATCAATAATGAAAAGGGTAAATTTCATGAAATAACAATTTCTCTTTGTTTTTTTTGTGGATATAATCAATGTAATGTTTAAAATGGTCATCTAATATGAATAAGCATGACATAAATACCTGATGCCAGAACTGTATACATGCAAAAAATAAATGGCATCCATCACACTCAAGTTATCAGTCTTTTCAGATCTGAGGTTCATCTTCATCATTGAAGAGTAAAAAAGAAGTAATATGTATGAACCTAGTATACATGTTCATCGTGATCCGCTTCTGAAACAATCTTCAGTTGGATCCAAAATTGTTTTTTTGTGTGTAATTTAAGGGGCAGAATAGTAATTTACTTATTACCTTTTCAAGTTGATGGTCTTTTTCCCTGAACAATGCAGTGGTAGCTGGAGTCAAACGATTAGCAAAATTTAACAATCTAATCAAATTTACCTTATCAATAAACAATAATATGAATGAAATCATAGATCCAGAAAGTAGTTGCTAGTAAATGAAATGGAATTATGGAATGTAAAGCTCGAAGGAACAAAAACACACCACACAAAATTATCAATATCAACAATTGTCTAACCAATTTCACAAAAAAAATCATCAAACTTGCAATCTATTTTAACCAAAAAAATTTTCTGAATTTTAATGGTTTGAATACTTATCACTCTTCCTTTCCAATACAACCTTCCAATATCAAATGTGCGAGTATGAAGCTAGCGCAATCGATGATAGAATGAAACTAATCTTATTGGTTATTTGAAGCATTTTATCAGTCACTTGATATGCATCCTGAACTCTACCAAGTCTGAGCAAAAAAAAAAAAAACAATCTAATCCTTCTTTAATTGAGTACCTTTTTAGGTCACCGACATTTGAAAACAACACCTCCAGAGGGAAAGATATATGATGATAAACACATAACAAATCTATTGACGAACATACATAAAAAGAAATCAAATGTATTTTTTACTCACATTTCTAATATCTGAACAGAAGAATCAGCTATAATTACAATTCCACTTCCTAGAAGCGCTGAGAAAGAAAATACCATGGAAGTGAAAATCAGAAATAAAGAAACCCAGATCCACCGTCCTTTAATGTATCCGACATCGAAGCAGGACTCGTCGGTTGTGGATGTCGTCGTAGTCGAAGTAGAGTCGCACGAAATTAGGGCTCTCCGACTTCTGCAGTGGTGGAGACAGACTCATCGGAGTGTTCTGTGTTGGAGGCGGTGTTGGAGAAGAAAAAAGAAGCGGTGGGAAGCAGGTGGAGGAATAAGGGAAAGAAGAAGCGACGCCAGAGGGGTAATAAATCTCAATCAGAGGGGACGGTGGAAAGAAAGCGGTGGGAAGCATCTGGAATGACTTCGATGAAGACGACGACCGACCTCGAAGAAAAAAGAAAAAAAAAAAATAGAAACAATCCAATAAGAGATAGGTACTGTTCAATTAGGAACTCTTCTTTTATACAATTATATAATGATCAATGTTGTAATTTTCTTAAATCAACATTAAAAGGAGTCAAACACATTAATTGCAATAAAATAATAATTTTTATGAAAAAACACATAGCTAGAACTACCAGGTTAAACCTACAAAAAATTCTTAATAATTAATAATATAAATGATAATAAATGTTGAAACTATAAAACAAACACCTAATAAGAGATATCAATGCCAAGATTGTTAAAATATGTATTTTTTTTAGTTATTCACTAATCTTGGTTATTATTTTATAATAATGTCATATTAATGGAAAATATTTTCTTAAAAGTTACAGAAACTCTTGATCTTTCAAATAATTAACCAAACATACTCGTTTTTTTTAACTTAATTAAATCATTCACTTTAACCTTCCTAATTTGATTTATTTAATACATTAAAATCAATTATTAGTTTAAGTTCAAACCAACTCTTTATTTTTCAACCTAATATACATATAACTTATTGGTTAAAATAAAAATGGTTATAAATCACAACCATAAATCAAAATATCATAAAACTATTTTTCTAATAGTTAAAAATTATGTATATTTTTAAATATAAAACCTAAACTGAAATGTATATTTAATTAAACGTCAATGTGAGACTAACCCACTTAATAGATTTTTTTCTGTTAGATTGAACGTCTTGCGTTTTAATCCGGACGTTGATGATTTTTACTAACTTGGTCATAGTAACTTCTAACAACTAAACACCCGTTATAATAATCAAGATTTTAAATAATGTAATTGCACATTGCGCAACACACGAGAATTCGTTCATTATACTTATAAAGGAAACATTTTTTTCTTTCATCACATTTATTAGAAACTTTCATGACTTTTCAATTTCTTTCTAATAATGATTATAAGTTGGTTAATAAGGTTAAATAAATATCAATCTTAAAGTGTAATCATATATAAACTAAATTTCAATATTAAAAGAATAGATTTACTTCTACTTACAATGTTATATTTTTAACTTGAGTAAATTACACGAATCGTCCCTCGTGCAAGTACCAAAATGCACGTTTAGTCTCTATTTTCAAAAATTAACTCGGATCGTCCCTCGTTTGATTAAAATTTGCACGTTTCATCCTTCATTACTTTAAATTTACACGCTTCATCCCTTGAGAAACATGAAATGACTATAATGCCCTTTTCCATTTATTTTTCATATTTCTAGATTAATTTTAATTACTAAAAAAATCTAATTAAATTTATAGGTCCACCTAACCCTTTTAAATAAAAGAAAACCCAGCCACCCCTCTTTCCCCTAAATTTTTGACAGATATCAAACATTACCACCATCATATTGTTTGAAGGAAGAAGCAAAGTCATCAAAATTTGCTACAACTACCACCATAAATAACTCCGATATCGATCCCCAAACAATACTCTAGAAATGAGTCGCCTGACCACAACCCTCATCTATTGACGAACCGCACACCGTGTCTATCTTTTTGTTAACTCCATTGTCTTAGATCGATGTTGCTTAGGGGCCACCACTGCCATAAGAACCACCGGTAAACATCAGTATCTCAAACCTCCCATGGAGCAAAGTCACACAAGTGAAGATGACCGGTGGGAACTTGTACGTTAACGCCTGTACCGCTTGAAAAATTGAAGAATAGATTAGGTGATAGCGAGTTATGATGGAAATGGCGAGCTGCTGTGGAGTTGACGTTAACCGGTGGTTTTCTGATCGATGCAGGAGAAGAAGGGGTGAGAATGAAGATCGATGGTGAGTTGTAGTAGCTTGAGGTCCGCCATTTTTATTTCAGAAGGTCCACCATTTTTGTTTCATGAGAGTTGGGGGGACGAAAGTAATTTGGGGATGTTCGGATCTATGTAGAGCTCGCCAGAAAGGAGGCTGCCAATCGGAAAAGAGAACAAGATAATGAGGAGGAGCGTTGTGATAAGGGTATTGGATCTGATTTGGATCCTAATGGGGAGAACACCGACGGTGGTGCTTGGTTTTCGCTGGAGACATGGAAGCAGGTGGGTGGCGGCATGATTTCGCCGTTATTATGTGGACGACATTAGGGTTGTGGGTTGTTATCGGGAGTGACTAAAAAGAGGGAAACAAAGAATAAGAAAATTGGGGAAAGGAAAGGGGAAAGGGGGGAGGGGGAAGGGGTGGGGCATTTATTTTTTCTTAATTTTTTTAATTTAAAATGACAAGTAAATAAAAAGAAAAATAAAAAAATATATATATTAAGGGCAAAATAGTCATTTTTTGATCGCAGGGACGATCCGAGTGAAAAAGATATTATACAGGGACGGTCCGAGTTAATTTTTAAAAATAGGGACTAAACGTGCAATTTGGCTCTTCCACGAGGGACAATTCGTGTAATTTACTTTTTTAACTTTTAACATATTATACTTAACCTATTAGTTTTAATATGATGTTGTATGTAAACCTTTATCGTTTTAAAGCTACAACGTTTGAACAATTTGTATAAGATACTTAAATTGTTAATTTTATTATAACATTATAAGTCAACTTAAAAAACTCAAAGAATAGTTTGTAAATAGTTAAAAATGATAAATTGTAGTGTCTTTTTAATAATGATTATAAGTTTGTTAATAAGGTTAAATAAATATCAAACATAAAGTGTAATCATAAATAAACTAAATTTAATATTAAAATAATATCTTTACTTCTACTTATAAAGTTATGTCTTTAACTTTTAACATATTGTACTTAGTTTATTAGATTTAATATGTTGTTGTATGTAAACAATTATCAGCTTAAAGCTACAACTTTCGAACAGTTTAGACAAAATACTTAAATTGTTAATATAGATATAATATTGCAGTGTCAACTTAAATATAAATTTCAGTTTTACTTAAAAACCCAAAGAATATTTTGTGAATAGTTAAAAGTGACAAATTGTAGTGTTAAATGCAAAAACTAAATTGTAATATCATTTTAACTAAAATATTTTTATAATCTATATCATACTATACTTATAAATGATGCATTTTTCCTATTACCTCATGCATTTGAAACCCCTATACAAATTTCCAAGCACTTCATGCATTTGAAACTCCCACACATTTTCACCTTCAAAGTAATTAATCACATATCATGAAAGGTTTTATAACTTATGTAATATGTTTAATTAGCAATTGATAGATAGTCTACTATAAAAATATCATTCTCTTTGAGTAGACACACAAATAAAAATCACATACAAAATTCACAAAAAAAAAAAACAAGTTTAAATGTTTTGTGTTGGTTTGAGGGCTTTGGACCATTTTTTCGAGCAATGTTATTATGTTAAAGTTTTTAATTTGTAAGTTTGTTATATACTAATTCTTTTTTAATATTTTTCTTGGTTTAATTATTCTTTTAAAACAATCATTATATGTTGTGGTTGAAACTTTATTATAAATTAGATTAGATTCATATTATCAATCATATGTTATGAAAAATGATATATATATATATATATATATATATATATATATATATATATAATTATATATATTGTATATATACAATATATAATTAAATATTATCTATATCATTTTTCATAACATATGATTGATAATATGAATTTAATCTAATCTAATTAGATTAGATTGTATGTTTGTGTTGCTTTAAAGTAATAATTAATAAAAAATCACGGATATGCAATTTTATACATAATATCGATGTAAGTCTTTTTAAAATGTAAGTTGTCTATCTTATCACTTTATATTTTAGTATATGTTTAACATTTTAATTATAATAAAAAGTATCTTTTAAAAGTTTTCTTTTGTTTATTTATAATAATAAGTGGTTTTAAAACGAATGAACCGTAATTATAAATAATAAAATCAAATTATAAAAATCATGGATATGTCATATTATCCATGCAAATCTCTTTTGAAATGCAAATTATCTATTTTATCAGTTTATTATTTAGTGTATGTTTCACATTTTAATAGTAGTATTAACAGTTTCTTAAAAGTCTTCTTTAAGTTATTAATAATAATAAGTGGTTTAAAACTAAAGAGTTAAAGATAATAACATCAATTTATAAATTATATAATGTTAACAACAAATAAATTATATTTTAAAAGAATATCATTATTGAAATTAGAAAATAATAGCATGAGTAAAAATTTTAATTAATCAATCATAAAATTGTTAAAAATAATATTAAATAGATAATTATATTTTATTTTATTAATGAGCAATGTGGATTGATGTCAATAAATAATATTGTTCAAAATGTTATGTCAAAGTTAAAGTCAATAATATAACCATTTTAGACATATATTTTTCAACATTTTAACAATATATTTTGAACCTACGCTGCGCAACGCACGAGAATTCATCTAATATTTTGATGTGAACCGTAGAAAAAAAAATATCTAAGACAACCATAAAAAATTACTTTCAAGTCTTTTTGGTAAGTTTTATTTTATGAAAAGCTTGAAATTGATGATAAAAACAAAATTGATAAAGGTATAAAGTTGAAATAAATTAGTAGTTAAAAAAAATTAAAAAATTAAAAAAAGTTGCAAAGTGGGTTTCTTCAGGATATCCCATTTATCAATTGCTGTCCAGCAGGCTTGAAACTGCCATTTGTTCTCGGCACTCGGTGCCTCATGAGATCCGATTGCATCTATCATCAAAGGTGAATCGACATCTCCAAAATGGTTCCAGTAATGTTCTTTTCAGCCATTATCGGCCTTCCTTAACAGTCTCCGCCTTCATAAATGAGTGAGTCCGATTATCACATTTACGATATCAATTTGTTTTATGCGCTTTGGTTTCAAATTTTACTTTTCGTAAGTCTACTGCATCTGCCCTTAGATTAAGTTATATCTGTAATGTCAACATGTTCATCCCTGAATATCGAGTATTAACCATCACTGATGATGTTTGCCTTGTTGATTGTCAGAAGAAAAGTTTTGAAATGCGGAATGAGAACATGCCACAGTCACACAGAAAAATGTAAGCCTCGGTTCTTAAAGCTCACATCTGTTATTGACTTGGCATGTCGATTCTACTAATTCTGAATGAAAACCTAGAAATCATGTTTTTGTTCTGTGAGAAGGATCTTAAATTCTTAATTTACATGTTGTTAATGTATTTACTCCTTTACCTTGTTTAAATCGATTTTTTTAATGGTTTCATCATAATTCAGTAAGAACACAATGAAACTTGATTAAACAGAGCTGACATAGACATAAATTTTTGTTACATAATACAGAAAACAACTCAAATGACAAAAAAGACATGTTAAATCAGTGTCTTGTTGTACAACAGAATGAACCACTGAAGGCAAGATCATGAGCTCATGGACCCGAAAGTAAAGTAAATATACTCACACCTTAACAAATCAACTTCCCTTAGCTCCTAAACCTGAATTGCTAAAGCAGATTAGATGTACGTGAATATGGGAACAAGGGTGTCATTTCTGCCTTAAGCCAACTGCAAACTTAAATTTTCCAGAATAAAAGTGTTTACAGAGTGATTTCACCTTCAGCAAACCCCATCCCATTTTTTATTTATATATATCTATATATATTTGGGATCATATCATATCATCACAAACCGTTGAACTTCACCATCTTCATTACTCATTTACATTTCAAACTTCAGACTTCAGAGTCATCAGTGTCGTTCCCTTCTCCATTCTTCCCTTCAAGCTTAATACTCTTGTACCATTTAGCAAACACAATGTAGACTGCTAGATCTACAGCTGTTAAGCATGCTAGTAGGAAGAAAAACCTGTCTAAATGACCCCGATTCAGATTCCCTGGAATCCACCCTGGCATATCATCTTCTGTTGAGATCTTCATCACTATAGTCACAATGAAGCTACTAACATAATTCCCAAGTGAAATCGATGTCATACATAGAGCACTTCCAAAGCTCTTCAAAGCATCAGGTGCTTGTGCATTGAAAAACTCGAGTTGACCTACATACATAAACACCTCAGAAGCTCCAACAAACGCGTATTGAGGTACCTGCCAAAAGATACTCAAGGAGCTAGACGCGTCACAATGAGGGCAATCTTGATTTGCATACTTCAGTCTGTAACACTCCACTATTCCAGCTGAAACCATTGATAGAATTGCAATGATAAGTCCGATTCCCATTCTTTGAAGCTCAGTCAAGCCTTTAGAGTCTTTCTTCTTGAACATAAGCACCAGAGGTCCAAGAACTCTTCGGTAAAGGAAAATGAAAAGTGCAACACTTAGAATGTCAAAACTAGACATACTGGATGCAGGAATTTGGAAGCCTGAGATTGTACTTCTCATGGCTGCACCTTGCTCAACAAATAGAGACGCCATTTGTGTGAAAACAACCGAGTAGATTATCGTGCATAGCCAAATCGGAAGTAATCTTAGTATGCATTTCACCTCTTCCACCTGTGAAATCGGGCATAAAGTCCATGCATTGTAGGTTCCTTGTTTCGGGTCCTTGAAATCCTTTGAGGTAATGAATGCCGCTTTATCCAAAAACCTAAACAAACAAACAAACATACCAATATCAACATCTTCAATTCATTTACATTTACCAATATGATAATAATAACCAATGCTTACTTGAATTCATGGGTATGAAGTATCTTCCTCCCAGTACTTGGAGAACTTTCCCTTTCATCTTCAAACAAAGCCTCTTCACCTTGTGGCAATTTAACCTTCCACTTCTTTGATGCAGCAACAAACACTTGACAAAATCTGTTTAAAGGGTTTCCACTTGGTTTGAAGTGTCTGTACCTTATGGTACCCCCAAGAAACAAGACAAGTCCCATAAACGCTGACCCAGTCGATAGCCAAAACCCTAGGGTCCACATACCTTCATCCTCAAAATAACTCAAAATCGTATTCGAAAAAAGGGAGCCAAGGTTAAGCGCAAGATAAAAGTAGCTGAAAAAAGCTACTTTTGAGTGTCCCTCTTTCATATCCTCTTCATCAAACTGATCAGCTCCAAATGTCGCGATATTTGGTTGGTACCCTCCATACCCCAAGGCAACCATGTAAATTGAGATATAAAACAACCCTATCTCCCAATTCGAGTGCTTAATGCATAAAGTTGTCCGGTCTCCACATCCTTTTGGGGTTATTAAGAACATGCTTGATGCCACCGATAGCCCTCCTAATCCCTACAATCACAGTATCAGTCACAGTCAGTCACAGAATACATGGTAGAAGTACATGTATATGTATACAGAACGAGGGTAATGTAAATGAACTTACTAAGACAAAGATGGCTTGAAAAATGGCACAAGTTTTGTATCTACCCCAGTAAGAGTCACTAAGAAAGGCACCAACAAGTGAGAAAATATAAACAGTTCCGGTCCATTTGCTAACATTGTTTGCAGCCTCAGCATTGCCCTGTTGTAGGACCCTGGTTAGATACAACACCAAGTTCACCCCAACTCCAAAAAAGGCTAAAGTCACCAGCCCTTGATTCACTGTTAAAAAAAAAATACACCATGTATAAAGTTAGGTCACAAAAGAAGACAAATTTTGCTTTTAAATTGACCCAAAAGGACAAACCAATAAATCTTGAAAATGAAATAACAAAAGACGTGATCATCTTTGGTATTCAATGTATTCAACTTATTAGGTTGGTTATATACGTGGAATTGTGCAAGTGTTTAAAAATACACATGTATTGTTGGTGTATTTGTACAAGCAAGCTTTCACGTGTCGGATTCGATAAGAGTGTCTAATATATTATGATGTATTTGTATTGAGAAGTGTGTGGTGTACGTAGGTAATTGATTTTAAGTAGTGTGATATGTAGTATCATATCATGTAATTATTTCGGCAAAGCAACATCAATCCCTTTACACGATGACAATTAGGCGTCGTTTTCTACTTAATGTGCAATAATTTCTTTTGGCTAAGCAACCGAGTGATTTGTAATATACTAATAATGATCACAATTAATGGATTGGGACCCTATAGATGATTAAGATGCAGTTGATATGACTAGAAGGTATGAATATTAATTCCAATTAGAGTAAGTGGTTAATAGATAGTCATGTTTAGCAAACATTGAGTTGAATATTTTAAGCGACTTTGTCTATGCTATCATTTTATAAGTGAGCAAAAACCGTAACATCAACCTAAAATAACAAATTACTGAAAAAACGGAACCATTTTGACAAACTGGACATTAGATTTTTATATTTTATAAAAGTAGAAAACTCTCGTTTGTCACGTTTATAAGCAAAAAAGTAAAATTAAAAAAAAAAAATCAGTATGAAAACATTTTTTATTAAATTATATATTACTTAATAAGTATTAATTGATTCAAATTATTCTTTTAATTTTTTAATTTTTTAATTTTAGTTACTAAACATAAAATACCCGAAAACCAAACCTGACCAGATCCAAAAGATGTTCATTCCTAGTCCACAGAAGATACATGTACTTGATCTAAAAGCTTACACGTAGCACACGACAAACAAGTGACAAAATTTGTCAACATGAAATTTGTCATCATGTGTTCTTGATTTCAGTCCCTTTACTGTTTATTACTTTATTATAAAGAAAAAGAAAAAATAATAAAAATAAAAAGAGATACAAACATGATCATTTTGCAATTTCCAAAAAATAAAAAAAGATAAGTATGGAAGTGGTTCTTTTGTTTGATAGACATATAAATTAATTAAAATAGTTTCGTCCCAGATAATTGATTTTCGATAACTTAAGTTTTCATTCAATAATAAACTTATAATATATAATTATGATTTTTTTTTTTCTTAAAAATATTTGAATAAGAATATTCCAAAAATAACTGTAGGAGAGTGAGTTGAGTTAAAAAAAAATGGGCCATGTTTTCACTCCTTGTTTTAGGTTGGGCCTCGGGAGTTGCTAAAAATACATCTCGTGAGTTGGAGTTGGAATGATGACTACACGAAACGTTGGTAACCATGCCACGTTGCCTAATCAGCTTGCGTCATGCAAGGATTTACCCATCGCGTGTCCCCCACGTCTCATACTATATCTATCTCCATATTTATTATTTTTACCCTTACAAAAACTTTCTAAAATAACCAAAACTAAGACGGACCATATAAATTCACACAATCACACACAAAAACAAGGTATAAAAAATGTTTTAACATGTTTTTCAATCATATATATTTTATAATAACTACACAATTGTGTCTTGCATGTTATTGAAATGTTATGATTAGTGTCTTTACATTTTATATATATATATATATATATATATATATATATGTGTGTGTGTGTGTGTATTTTGTATGGATATATTTTTGTAGAATGTCGTGTGGAAGGAACTATTCCCAAAACCAAAAGTTTTTTTGTCTACAAACCCCACATCAACATAGTGCCAGTTGTAAATACTTTTTCACCATCAGTCGACTCTCTTTCATGACATACCTCATTGGATCTGATGTTGATTTAATTTAATATATGACCACTCGAACAGTCGAAATATTTTTAGTAAAAATAAAATCGATATGAAACAATAACTGTTTTATAAGAAAAAAAAGGATATATAGGATAATTCTTACAGTTTCAGTTTCATTTAGAACTAATATAATTAATAATTTGATTAACTTATAAAAAATTGTATTTTCTAGACGAAATACTCTATATAACTTTTCGAATCATCATGTCATAAGAACTTTGCATAAAAACGTTGTGTTTTAATACAATAATATTGCATATTTTTAAACAAAAAGTACACTTTTTTGTCATTTTCAAGATTCTCTACACGCAATTTTCTAATATATTTATGTCATTAGTTATTGAATTAAATGTAATTTTCCTCAATAAATATAATTAAATCAAAATACATCCACACATAGAGCTATCAAAAATTTTAGGATAGAGTAGACCTCCACCATTCCAAGCTTTCATAAATTTGGTTTCAACACCTTTTATATTAAATTTAATTTTTATATATGAATACAAAGAACTTATATGACTGTTGATTTAATTTTATGTAATGATCAATAACTAATAGTTCTAACAAAGGTATGTTAGTATTAACCATAGTGAATATAGTACTCTATCATAATTTGTTTCTTCTTCAAAATAATGTAGGAGCTTGAGTTTAAATTTTACACCAATATGCTATCCAACAAGTTGAGATTAAT